GGGCGACATTTACGAGACGTCATGGGTCACTATCGCAGCTACTGGGTCAGACAGCAGTCAGAAAGGGATATACTCGACTGTTCCAGAGCGATACAAAGCCAGAGCTTTACGAGATCACGAATTCCATGTGCGAGAGGATCTTCCGGGATTTGCCAATCCAGTCAATTCAATCCACGAACATGATAGTTGGCCACTCTTGCGTAGGGCTTGGGTATATCAGGAGCGACAGCTGTCACCCCGCATGATCCACTTCAGTCAACATCAGATCTTCTGGGCATGCAATTCCTCATTCCAATCACAAGATGGGTGGCATCCCGCACGATGGAATCCTAGTAGGAAGAAAAGTCTAGAGGAGTGGAAAAGCATTGTTTCCGAATATTCATCGTTGAGGCTTACATACGAAAGCGACCGTCTACCCGCCATCGCTGCCATAGTTCTGCGTGTTATGCAGAATCGACCAGGCGATACCTACATTGCAGGCATGTGGAGGGACACTCTGATCCCGGACCTGTTCTGGTTTGCCACCAACTTGCAGTCTCGGCCCCGTCCTACATACAGCATACCGACATGGTCTTGGGCCTCCGCATCTGGAAAAGTACAGCATTTCATCAGGGAACAACCTTTTCAGCAGGTTGCGCAACTACTGGATGTGACCTTTACAACTATAGGAATGGCTCACATGGGGCGAGTCGAAGATGCTAGTATCACGCTACAAGGGCCCGCCTATAGTCTTCCAAGATCAGCGTATTCGATCTTAGGAGACAACATCGCAGCCAAACTCTGGCAAAATATAGACATTCCCTTGATATCGGATATCCGATGCACTGTCTTCAGAGACTTTGACTGGCAAGCTGTCAATCCTCGCGTAGGGTCCGACTATGACTTGACCATCCTGTTCCTATGCGAAGAAGTCGGGGACCCTGCGCGTGTGGGACAGCATTTTGGCGGGATGGTTCTGAAAGCAGTCGAAAATGATGCCTTCGAACGGGTTGGGTTTGTCCATGTTTACCCAGACCCCAGCAAGTACAAATATCCTTTTTCCGAGGAAAGCAGCGACGAGGAAAGCAGCGAGGAAGGTGCCGAAGCCGCCAAATACGACGAGGATGGCGAAGATGACGAGAGGATGGATGATAAGAACACAGCTCATAAAGGAGCGGTCTATTTTTCTGCCACTATACCCCACATCGGGGCCGAAAGGGTTGAGATCGATGACATCGAAGATGGAACAAGCGGAAGTGATAGCGATGATGATACAGTATCTTCTTTTGTTAGCGCACTACCGGTGCAGACTTTCAGAATCATCTGACACCATTCTTCACCTTTGAGGGAACCATTTGTGGGTATAATATTATCAACCTCGCAACTCGTAACAACCTATTACAAACCAAATTCCAGTACAGCATGAGCCTCAGTACCTTCTTTACATCGGTGAACCATACCCTCCGACTCACCTCTCAACGTCTGCTCCACCAAGAAGCTCATTTGAACATCGCTCAACAGTTTGCAGCGCTGCAGCTCAAGTAGGTCGCTCAAGTGGCAGTGAAAGCACATGACCACATCGTCGAGCGGTGCCTGCTGCTTACCCGACGCACTCGTGCCAGAAGCACTCATGGTCCGAGCCCCGGTGCCTTTCCGCAGCACTGAAGGCGTGCGCAACTCCGGCAACAGTATGACCGCAAAGCCGGATATTAGCCATTTCCCGCTGGCATCGAGACTGAGGATGAAAGCGTTGTTCACGTCCGTAACACCAGAGAACATGCAGATGCGGTCGCCAGATCCTATCTCGTATGACCCTGGGCCTCCTCCGCAAGCAAATCCAGTGATGCCGTTAGTGCCCACGAAGGATGTGTATCGCGCATGTCGTTGATCAGTGTTTCGCCGGGCCAATTTACTTCTAGCGGTGAGGTATAGTGCCGCCGCGTCGTCTGTCATGCTCCGGGAGATGATGTTGCGGATTACTTTGCTTCCATTGTCACCAGGTTGCGGACTGGCGCTGGCGTCAGGCCCTTGCTCTCCAATCGCTCTCGAGAGCCCATCGATCACCAAATCCGCGGACGCTTCGATCATCGCTTGCCGCACCTTTTCAGTCGGACCGGGGTTTCCATATGCCACATGAGGGTCAGCAAAGCTGAGCAAAGTCTGCGTGTCTCCTTTGGTAACGTAGTCGCCAAGATCCTGGATGTCTTGAGTCGAGAAGGATCTTGGGTGCATGTTTGATCGCGTCCAAGTTGCCCTCCATGTGCCTGGTTGGAAGGCCTCGTCGTAGTCTACGAAATTACCGACTTCTGTGATTGTGCTAATGAATGAGACCGAGGCGATCATGCAGGGCGTAGCAGCCACAATGTAGAGGTGTGGCTGCAGATTCGGGCACAGCTTTAGGATATGCTGTGCGAGGGTTTCACGCGAGACATCTAGCGCCTGCATGAGGAACGTCAAGAAACGGTAGTCGTCTGAATCTCCTCTCCTAGGGTCTTCGTGACATTGGTTGCGAAGCACGTCGACGAGCAGCTCGACAGGTGCTTTGTTGTAGTCAGGCACAATTTTCTCTCCGCGGCCAGTGGAAGCAACGCCCAAGAACCCATAGACTCTGTCGTACACTACAGAGCTCTCCGACAACGCAAAGGCTTGTAAGAGATCGCGCAAGCGAAATGTCGACTTCAGGGTCTTGCTGTTGCGGCGACCAAGCATTTCCCTCCGGTACTGCTTCGTGCGTTTGAAGTCTTTCCGGTACTTGAACAACAGATAGCCGCGGCTTGTATAGATGACGCTCGTTGGGGAGGCGACTGGTGTGGACGCAAGGCCATTGCGCCAGATGCCTTCGACTGTCGCAGCACCCACACTGAGGTCGCCACACCAAATGTCGACCGACTGTGCCAGCACAAATTCCTGAACCACCCATACCCGACTCCAATACGGCTTATTAAGGACGTTCGCCAGCGCATTATGGAACTCTTCAACTCTGAGAAGGTCAGGATGGCGCGCGAGTAGGAAAGCTAACTCTTCATATCCTTGGGGAAGTCCGAGCCACACTATGACAGATTGCGCTCCAGTGTATACATCGCGCATGAGCGACACTTGGTGATTGCGCTCCGATATGTTGCTTTGATCGATTGCAATGGCATCAATCCACAAGGCAGTGGCCTTGCCTGGATCCTTCTCGCAGCATTGCCGAAGGTACTGCTTCCTGCGGTATTGCTGGATGAAGTTCCATAGGCTCTCTCCCACGGCGAACCTCGATCCTTGGATGTCGATGTACTTCTTCTCGCCAGCTTTATCCCACATGTAGGATAGCGCAATGAAAGTGGGCTTATCGTCCAGGTCGCAGACGGATAGCGTTGCCTGGATGGGCTCGTGTTCAGGTGCCGGTAGTATTTCCAAAAGCCTGACGCTCTTCTTATTTGGGTCTAGAGAGCCATATTGGAGTAAGGGTAAGGCTGCCAGTGGGTCATCCTGGTCGGGTGTTGCCGGCGGACTGGCGGGCGCGGTAGTGGGTGCGGAGGACTTGCGCCGCAGCTTTTGCAGCCGAAAAGGATCAACAAAGGTCTTCTTAAGTATACTCTGAGTCGTCCGCTCCGGTGCGGCCATGATCTTGTAGAGTGCACAAATGCGACGATGTGGCAACAGAAGCCTTAGCGGGTCTCATCAGTGGTAAGGCTGAGATGCAAGTGGAGAAAGAACGCGGCGCAAGAGAACCTTCCTTGTCCAGGCCATCGTTAATCGCCGCGTGATTCACATACACCGTCTGACGGCAGGGCTCCCAATAATTGCCAGCGAGTAGGCGTTGATGTGGCTTGCAGCACGGTGCCTAGATGATGGATGTCTGAGGCCAGAAGTTCGTCCGAGAGACCTCGGGATGCTTTGGCGAAGCTGACTAAGCTTGCATAAACGGGTGGTGTGGGGGCCAAAAGCGATCCCAGCCCCCAGAATTCCTTCCGTCATCATCATCATCTGCGGGAAGCGTACCCAACCGAGCAAACCAATATTTGGACCCATGTTAGGGCTAGCATGCAAACAGCTCCAGCACGCGATTTCCCATCGCCTTGTCGACGACAGCGTCGTATCCTCTTAGTCCAGAGGCGTATACGACGCGATTGTGACAGCAACGACAGCTTCTGACACACAGCGACATCATCTTCAGCTATCATGCATCGATGAAAGCGATGTACCAAATCGAATGGTCTGCTCGCACTTCGCGAGGTTAGACGCCGAGCTATCTGGGTTATGATTAATAAGGTCAGTCCCGTTGTTTTGCCATTCGATATGCTCATGATCGCTCGTGCGCGACTGAATCGCAATGATGCCTACGAAGAGCTTGCGATAATCGATAATAACGTCGTTAACCGCTTACGGGCGCATGCGTGGAGGAAGGTACTACTACTGCGTCTATTCCAGCCCGTTCTGATGAGTCGAGGAAGCAAAAGTGACGTGACGGCACGAACACTGGATTACCACAGGAAGACCTCAAGCCGGGTACCTCCTCGATGAGTTGATGTTCACGGTAGTGTTGTTCTTCGCTGGTTGAGATGCAATCTCTACTGGTTTGATGCATACCGATACTACAGCCATGTCCAGATCGCTCGGTAATCTCCAAAACCAGGCGAATCACAGCATACATATCCGACACTCAACAGCCTATATATGCTGCACTCATTGTCCTCGACATGTTGTATCTTTCTCATTTCGCAGCCTTGGGGATCCGTCAGCTCTCCACCAATCTCATACCATGCCTTTCCGATTATCATCTATCAACGGTCAAGTCGGATGCATCAGAACGAGCCAAGCACTTAGCGGATATGCTTCAAACGCGGGACAGACATTGACTCCATGTGTTTTAGATTCTTGCAAAGCTGCACTATATGCGGAGCGGAGATGAAATCGGTATCCAGAGTTCTTGAAGGAGCAAACTTACAGGATCAAGGTCGTTAAAGACATGCGCAAAAGCCTTCGACTGGCGCCAATCCTCAGAAACACACTGTTTCCAAACCTTCCTTATCGAGAAGATGAAGTGTTCTAGTCTCATCTTCGGCGTTCTCGCAACACTTGCGGCTGCACAAACACCTTCCCCGTACACCGATGTCAAATCAGGCATCACATTCAACACCCTCCAGCACAGTAGCGGCATGTTCTTCGGTCTTGCACTTCCAGCCAACGCCACCGGAAACACTGACTTCATTGCGACGATCGGGGGCAAAGGCACGGGGTGGAGCGGTGTTTCTCTCGGAGGTGGGATGCTTAACAAGCTCTTGATCGTCGCTTGGCCAAACGCTCAAACTGTAGTGGGCAGCTTCAGAAAGACTGCGTACGCTCAGGCTGAACAAATGACTTCAATAGCGAGATGATGCTAACACACAGCAGCCAATACGCCTCTCCAGCCGTCGCAACCGGCGCCTTCACACAGACGACAATAGCAAACGGCACATACGTCAACAGCACGCACTGGACGTACACCTTCCTCTGCTCCAAGTGCATTCAAACCGATGGCACGACATTCAAGCCTACTGATGCAGCGCCAAGTCTCGGGTTCGCATTGAATCCGACAGCGCCGGCCCAAAAGACGAATCCCGCATCTAGTGTATCGAAGCATACGGCGCAGGGGCAAGCGGTATTTGACCTAAGCAAAGCTAAGAACGCGAAGTTCGAGGTCTGGAAGGGCTACGCTGTGCCGAAAGTTGCTACGGGCTTTGCGGGCTAGGTAGTGCGACGGCTAAATGGGGTTGAACGCGAAAGGGAGTCGGGGTTGTCAGGCAGAACTGCGGACGTGGTCTGGTTGTTTCGGCATCGCTGAGTGCGTACGTATAGTTGTGATTGTTCTCGCAACTTTTCTTGTTGGGTTATGCATGTCATCTCACTGTTCCCAAGGATGCGGTTCAAGATCTACCGCTTCGTGCCTGATCACCCTTCCCGTCTTTAGCCTGATTGCATCGAACGAACTGTGCGGGGATGACCGTGCACACGAAGCACTAGAGTCTAAATGGAGAGTCTTTGGCGCATGCGCTTCTGGAGGGAACTATCAGTTCATAGCTAGTTCGGTTGTGTTGACGATCAGATGCAGGGGACTAAAACAATGACAAGTGACGTAGACGACAAAGGCGGTCATGTAATCACATGCGCAATGATCTCTTGGAAAACTTGGTGGCATCAAGGAAAGTATGTGATTTTATTCTACACTACACTCTACGTTCACCAGCGAAAGAAACTCCTAAAAGTAGGAAGACCAAAAGGATTGAGAATGTCGAAAGCGTTACGGGCTTTGATCAAATCAGCTCCCTTCTCTGCGACAGCGTACATTGTCGCTTGCAAGTGTGTCGCGGGGATCAACGGGATGATACTCGCGTCCACGATGCTGAGGCCCTTCACGCCGTGCACGGTGAGGTCGCTACCCACGCAGCCACCAAGAGACTCCGGCATCATTGCGCAGCTACCAGACATGTGTGCAAAGGAAGCCTGGAGAGCCTTTTGTTGAACAAGGTCATTGATGATCTCATCGTCCGTCTGCGCTTGGGTGCCGGGAGTGAGCTCGACGGGGGAGAACTTCTTGAGCTCAGGATTCGCCCAGTGTTTGCGTGTCCATCGAACCATTCCCGCGATGATCTGGCGATCGACGGGGTTCTGAAGGGCGTTGAACTGGACAACGGGGTTACCGTATTTGTTGCTTGGGTTGATGGTGACAGTGCCGCGGGAGAGGGGGCGTTGCAGCGAGCTGATGGCGAGACCGAAGGGTACCATGGGGAACTCGCCAACAGCGGCGTCGGCGCTACTGTGCAGACCCGCGATGATGTCGCGTTGCTTGGTGAAACCGCGAAGCAGAGAGGAGTCGTCGTACACCGAAGGAAGGTAGCTACGGACGTTCTGTGACTTGACAGTCTGCACAATCTGGTTCCAGTTATCGCAAACTGTCTGCAGACTGAGGAAGGCTAGACTGCTGCCGTGGGCTTGCGTGAGGGGACCGCTCCTGCTGGTATCGTACTCTGACCATACTGTAGCGTTATAAGTGGGGTCTGCGCCGCTGTAGATATTGGGAAATGCCAGGTTCTTGAGGTCGAACACCATGTTCGCATTGGGGTGGTCTTGCATATTGGCGCCGACAGCAGGCATGTTCTTCTTCACGTTGATGCCCGCAGCTTTAAGCACGCTACTTGGTCCAATGCCGCTGAGCTGAAGAATCTGTGGTGTGAAGATTGAGCCAGCAGCCATGATGACCTCGCGCTTTGCATAGACTTGCTTGACTGAGCCATCCGTTCGCGATTTGAATTGGACACCATTAGCTGTGTATCCAGTGAGTAACTTCTTGTCAAAGAGGACCTCGTTGACAGTCTTTCCGGTGACGAGTACAAGGTTGCTGCGGGTCTTGACAGGGTCGTAGTACTCGTTCTTCGCATGAGATCGTGTCTGGGTCTTGGGTCGCAGAGCTGTAGGTATCCAGAAAGCACCCACTGCCCTCCCTGAAGCATGCTCTCTGGGCAAAGGCACGCCTGATTGCTTGTATGCTGCCCAGATGGTCTTTGTGTCTTCGTACTCGAAGTTTGGGAACGATGCTTGTATCGGCCCGTTGGTGCCATAGTACGATGCGTCATACGTAGTGCCAAAGCTCTTCACGTTGTTCGAGGTTGGTGGCGTGAATGTGGTCGACTTCTTGAAGTAGTATAAGAGGCTGTTGAAGTTCCAGCCGGCGTTACCAAGTTGCTCCCACGCATTGTAGTCGGCGGCAGATGCTCGGTCAAAGGCCATACCGTTGACTACAGATCCACCACCAACGACGTTACCCACCCAGACAGGATGAGTACCGCCTGTGTTTGTGTCATATGCAGACGTGATGTCGTACATGAGATTTGCGTTGACACTGTTGGCAAAGCTAGGTACTTGAGTGGTCACATCGTCGACGACGTACCCATTTTCGATCACGAGAACAGTACCTGTGGATGTTAGGTCCATATGTCAACGCCGAATGTGGTTACTCACGGCTTGAATCTTCGCTGAGGCGGTTGGCAACTGTCAGGCCTGTCAACCCGCCACCAACGATGATGTAGTCAAACGATTGCCCGCCAACATCTGGCTCGCCGCTGCTGCTACCCGGAGAGGACGGGTCCAACACCCGCGGCACGAAAGACGCAAGGTAGAAAATGCCCCCAAGAAGAAGAGACATATTAGAAATTATGGACAGAAGGAGTGTATGAGCACCAGACGAATGGCGCAAGGGTGAGTGGTGCGTCAAGAGCTAAGATTACGGATCGTCGAAGGTTTATACCAGGACTGATCCGTTTGTCAGGTAGCTGACGGACGGGCCACCCCTGAGTACGCGAAGCTACTGAAGTGTTTCGCTTGCGAATAAACGAGCTTCGGCATGCCATGGCAGTTCTATACTACCCGCTGGGCGTTGCGTAACGACTTTCTCTCGTGGAGTAACTGGCGCTCAAAGGTACCAGATTCTGCAGTGCTGAATGAAGCATGTTGCCCGGGTTCTTGGATCGATTCTGCACGGGAACAACGTAGAGATCCGCAAACCTTGCTGAAAAGTATAACTGTAGTCGACTAGAAACGGTAAGCCTAATGATCCTGTCAATCTGCCCGGCTATCGACAAGCCTAGAGCTGCAGTCATCGATATCTGGCAAGTACAGCTAACGTGGCGTCGACTATCAGCTCCCGCCGTAACAACCACGTGCATCGTCGTATGACGTGCGCCACGCGAGCTGATGAGGAGATTTTAACCTGGATGGTGCAACGCTTTGTCCTGCGAACCACATAGTAGTCGATAGTTCAAAGGGCGAGACCGACGGTGTGGTGATGGCGAAGCGGCGGCCCCTGGTACAACCGCGGGAATGCAGGGGCCACGGCTGTCATGTTGCAAGAGCCGTACTGGTGAAAATCTCCATCATCCTCATCCTGCTGTCGCGCTGCTGCGGGTCGTCATTAGGTCGATTGTTATGCTTTGGCGTACGAGTGTTTAGGTTTTGCAGTCGTCTAGATTATCGGTGGCGGCCGGAGAAGGCTCAATCGGGTATAGCGCGCTCCTATCTGACACTAGCTACACAAAGACAGAAACCTGGCGGCATCACTAACTTCACGAGCTCAGCAACCGTCGCTTGTCAATCTTTCCTGCTGCGGGCACCCACGTTGTACTAGAATTATTGCGGTAGCGAAGAGCGAGCAACAAGCCGGTGCTATCGCAGCCGTTCGGCCCGTTCACTGAGTATGACATCGTCACAGAGATTTCGCGTCGGCTGCTCACATTGAAGAGTGCAAGGGGTATCTGATGCGTTCGGAATGATGGACACTCGATACCCTCGCTGTCTGTTCACTCCGCTTCCGTGGCTCAGCCGGACTACTTGACAAGGCCGTTTCGAGCCTGATGGCCTGGCATCTGCGCCCGCCTGAGCTAAACCTTCGTGCAACGGCGCGCATCATAACCTCTTAGCCCATGCCACGACGGCTAACCGAGTGACAGATGTCGTGCTTGCTGGCTCCGCTCATAACTCACGATGAACCTAATCTCGGGGCTGTGGGTTAGCAGCATGCAAGAGTTTGGTTGGGTTTGTTTCCAGAAGACAAATTGGGAGTGGCTGTGGAAGGTCTCCCGACCGTGCGCTTCTGGCTCTTTCAGGGCTTGCGCGCGAGGAGGAGGAGATATGTTTGATCTGCAGAGCCTTGCGGCTCGGCTGCCTCCTTCAAGCTGATCAGTGGAGATCTGGACCACGATGTCCGAGCATGAACGCATCCTGACTAACGACCTGCCACGGTGATGTGCGCTAGTCCTCGGCGCACAGTCGTAGGAATAGGGTTTAACCGCCTCCTGCATGCTTCGTTGCGTCTTACGGGATTGGCTGAGTTTGACATCGGTCGGCCACTCCGCCGTTTATGTCTGGCTATCTGCAGAACGTTAACAGAGCAATTATAACAGCACGTCCACCCGGCCCGTTGCTGCATCAGCCTGCATAGCATTCCAGGTGATCAGCAGAAGCTCATTTCGAGGAGAGGTCTCCGGTCAGCCAATTTCATTGGGCATCTTTATCTTTCCGTGTCTCATCCTCTTTACATCCTCCCATTCGCAATGGGTGTACCCACAACACCGGAGGGGCTTCCTTTGGACGACCGCTCCAATGCGCTCAAGATACCCATCATCGCTTTGATCATATTCAGCTCTACATTCGTTTTACTCCGTCTGGGCATAAACTGGAGGAATAGGAATTACTTCCTACTAACCGATCATCTCCTTTGGACGGGACATGTAAGTCGCGATCAAGCGAGAGCTTCCAGCATTTGCTAATCAGCCTCAGGTTATAGCTGTCGCAGGCGCAGCATGCTGCTACAAGATGGCTGAAGTTGGGGCCGGCAGGCACGTCTGGGACCCTATGTTGACACCACAAAACATGGAAACGTACCTCTACTTCCTCTGGGTGGGTCAGCTGCTCAATTTGTACGGCATGGCCTTGATCAAGCTGAGTGTATGCGCCTACATCTTCATGCTGGACTTCTCGCGAACCTTCCGGATCATCATTTGGGCTTCCGTCGTAATCCATCTTGGCGTCAACTTCGTCTTTCCCACAGTCATTCTGTTCGGCGAATGCACTCCATACACCAAGCATTGGGATGTCTCTGGAATGAAACCTGGCTCTTGCTGGGACGCGAAGCCGCGTGTCATCTCTGGATACTCCGGCGCTGCGGTCAACATCGCGACTGATTTGCTCTACACCATG